AGCCGCAGGTGCTCACCTCCACAGGTATCGATAGCCGCAGGTGCTCACCTCCACAGGTATCGATAGCCGCAGGTGCTCACCTCCACAGGTATCGATAGCCGCAGACGGCTCCCCTCCACAGGTATCGATAGCCGCAGGTGCTCACCTCCACAGGTATCGATAGCCGCAGACGCTCCCCTCCACAGGTCTCGATAGTCGCAGGTGGTCACCCCTGCAGGTCTTGACAGCCGCAGGTGGTCAACCCTTCAGGTCTCGGCAGCCGCAGGTGGTCAACCCTTCAGGTCTCTACAGCCGCAGGTGATTGCCTCCATATGTCCCGACAGCCGCAGGTGTTCGCCTCTACAGGTCTCGACAGCCGCAGGTGCCTGCCTCCACAGGCCTTGATAGCGGCAGGTGCACGCCTCCACGGATCTCGACAGCCGCAGGTGTTCGCCTCCACAGGTCTCGATAGCCGCAGGTGGTCACCCCTTCAGGTCTCGACAGCCGCAGACACTCCCCTCCACAGGTCTCAACAGCCGCAGGTGCTCGCCTCCACAGGCTTCGACAGCCGTAGGTCAATTTGTATGTCTGGTCTGCCTGGTCTATCTCCATCTATCCCTATATATCTCTATCTATCTATCCTTCGCCGCCAGCCCTGGTGGGTCGAGGGGTCGTCAGTGTTTGCAGATAGGTTGCAGGCGTTGTCAGTGCACTTCAATGGGTCGAAAGAGTGGCCAGAGATCGCTGGCGACTGTTGACTGTACAACTGTTGACTGTACAACAATACAATACAATAGCGTCAATAATAATAGGTACAATAGCGTTACATAGGTACAATAGCGTCGACGGAGTTCTCTAGTAGATTGGATAATCCTCGACATACCCTGGTGTGTCGCGATAGCTGTTAGTCTCCTCTGGTGAGAACGAAGTGTCAGTGGTGGTCACCCGTGGGTCAGCAGAGTCGTGTTTTTGCTGGCAAGCCACTAACACAATGTCAGCCAACCCTGGCATGCTCCAACGCAAGTCTTACCAATCAGGGCCATCAGACAAGCATGGATCAGACAAAGCACACGCTCGAGAAAAGAAGAAATAGTAAAGTTCCAGTGATTCACTGCACAACTCGCCGGCAGCAGCTCGAACCGAGTCACGAGTCGAATCGCTCACCGCGAGTCGGTCCGGCAGAGACTGAGGTCGGGTTCCAGCTCGTTGAGCGACATGGCGAAGTGGGTGAAGTGGTAGTACTTGTGGGCGTCGACAGGGCGCTGCGCAGACTCCCACAGCGTCACGCTGTTAGGGATGTCGATCGAGTAGTCGGAGCCACTGCGGGAGAGGCTGCCTTCGGTCGGACACGGCTCCTCTGGCGGCTCCGGCTCCACGCTCAGCTGCCGGCGGGACGGCCAGGTTAGGTCAACGGGGACTTGAGCGCAGCAGCGACACGGATGCTCAGGTCAGCGGCAGCTCGTGTGTGACACAGCGGTCAGGCGGCGGCTCGTGTGAGCTAGGCCTTGTCTTGCGGTGCGATCAGCGACCGGGATTCCCCGTGAGACTGCGGCTGCCAGAGACTGCCTCAGTGACCTTTGCTAATCAGATGAGTGGCCAGACGACCCTCGCCTCTGAACGATCGATGACACACGGCATCCATCCGGGATTTTCGAACGGCCATGCCCACTGCATCCGGGATTTTCGGACAGCCACGCCCAATTCATCCGGGGATTTTCGGACGGCCAAATCTATTTTATCCGGGGATTTTCCGACGGCCACGCCCAATTCAGCCGGGGATTTTTGGACGGCACGCCCAATTCATCCGGGGATTTTGGACGGCACGCCCACTCGTTGGGCTAATCAGGTCGCGGTCGAATCGGGGGCGTGCTCTCGACGGCTCCGGCCCGACCTGCGACCCACCTCACGGTCCGAGAGGCTGCGGAACGGTGCGCTCGTGATGCTGTTCAGCCGGGAGAACATCTTCCTGGGCCCGTGAATCGGCGACAGGCCGGCCCTCCTCTCTGACTCATGGCTTGAGCTGAAAACCACAGCGGCTCACTGCAGTGTGTTTGAAGGGGTTCGTCTGCAAATTGCTGAGATGTGGTGACGTCGACGCCAGTTGCGTTCCTTTAGAGCTTTACAGATTTTATTTTGCTGTGAGTGGTAGTTTTAGTTGTAAGCAGGAGCCGTTAAGAGTGGACTGCACGGACATCCGCATCCTGTGCTCGCTGCGCGGCCGGTACGACCGCGCAGCGAACGATGGCGGGAACGGGCTCAGCATTGCGCTGATGAGTACGCGTGCAAACGCCAGTGGATGTATATTGAGCGACAAACGTGCTCAGTCACACACTTACTTAAACTGTAGACTTTAGTGACAGGTTCCACATTTTCGCCATAGTTTGTAGAAATATGAACTCCTGCTGCATGCTTATCCAGTCAAAACGAAACTGTTCCGATGTGTCAATGATATCGAGTCTTTGGAAAACAACCTGACAGTACTTAAAGCTACAATTTACGACTCAGCAAGTATTTCTCCTGATCTTTATAGATTTGGCCACCCGCCGGTGGGAGTCACGATGTTTTCGCAAACTCACCTGAACTTGTGTTCATTTAGCGCGGCATAAGCTTCATATGACTCGATGTCTGTGCAGCGGAGGAACGTTGTCCATTTGCCATACAGGAAACGATGACGCACTTTCCTGCGAATACATTGGCGTGGTCACGGCTTATCCACCATCAAGTAATCCAGTGTGTTAAACCAGGATTGCATTATAAGCAAATTATTGTCCAATACCAGATCCACGAACTGATAAGTTGGGATTCGACAATCGTCATTTAATACACTTAAGTTACAAGTGCACATTTGCATACCCAAGATTAACAGCATAAATCTTAGTAGCAGCGCGTGCGTGATCGCCCCTTGCGATTTATATTAAGCGGCATGCAATTGACAGAAGACGTACATGGCATCGATGATGTAGCCTTCGACGCGGTGCAGGTCCTTTGAGGAACAACCGGCCGGTTTGAACACTAGGGTGCACGTGTCTCCTGAAATGGGACACGGCTTGGTAACCAAATGACCCGATTACAAGTTCCGAACATTTGACGTGAGCGTGGGCTTTGCGTTCGATTTTCGTCTTCGATTTTTGGTGTTTGCCGAGGTAAAACCGGAATACCACCGTCGGGGGTCGGCTTCATGCGATAAAAGGAAGGTTTTAGGTGGACTCTGAAAACCTCATGTGGCCAAGCATCCACGACGTGGCGCGCTGTGGCTGCTTGAGCATTATGTGGAGTAAAACTGGCATCCGTCACGCAGCTGAGTGATTGTGCATCGTTTTACGCTCAGGTTCAAAGACATTTTTGGGGCACTTGCATGCGCTGATTTGCCGTTAAATCTATTGCTCAAGTCACTCGACCGTTCAGCAGCTGTTACTTTTGCCAGGACGAGCTTCCATTTCGCTTGTAACCTAAGTTGTCTCTGCTTCTCCACTATTTCGGCATCATTTAAGAACATAGACTTAATTTGCATACACGTTTGCATGCACAACAGAACACGTATTGCGTATCGCACGGCAAGAGACTACGCGTGTGGCAAATGTGATATCGTTTAACTTCACCTGAGGTGTAAAACGGAATTTTCTTAGTTGCACCATAATCAATATTATATATATATATATATATATATATATATATATATATATATATATATATGGATGGATGGATAGGTAGGTAGGTAGATAGATCTAGACGCCTTGAAATGGCAGTGAAGGGTCAGTATGAAAATATTGTGTTCTTTTTCACTATTGCGCTTAACGCAGCCTATACTTTACGCTCCCTTAGTAAATACCATCCAGGAAGGCCTGTGCTCTCTCCCGCTTGCGTTGGTGGTATCAAATAATGAATACAACGCATGCACTGAATGATGAGTTATTGTTTACGCTAAAAATTGGCGTTTCTATTGACACGTGGTGTAGCCTATACTTGCTTTTCATAACGGTTATTGACGCTCGCCTATTAAACGCCGTAGACGTTTACCCAAAGGAAGAACAACCCCCCGCCCCCTTTAGCTTTTCAGAATAGACAGGCATCTCGGGGGCATATGCAATGAATTAGCCGCTCTCCACGTCATACTCGCGCTAACAAGCTAGTTTTGAGCTAGCTAGTTCTACGCTAACTAGTTCTGGGATGTGGCAACCTCCAAGCTATGGTCATTACTGGGGCTGCAAAGTCTTTGCCCCAAGTCACTAAGTTTCCTTCGCAGTTAGATTACTAGTGACGTTTGCGTGCACCCAAAACCGTTGCAATGATGAAGGATCTTCTGCGGCTCTCTTCCAAGACGTGCAATCAACGCGGACTCAATTTGCTTACAATTTAGTCGCATTTCACTATCGTATGTGTACGCGGGGTTTGAGACAATCTGTTTTCAATTTATAACTTGTATTCTAGTTATCTTTTCGACTTTGTAGGCATTAAAGAGCTCCAGATTTTTTCATACCGTATTTATCGCACCGTATAAAACGGCATCGTATTTTATGTTATCATATTTATAGCCCTGCTCGAAGCATCGTATTTTACCGCATATTTCGTAGCACTGCTTCTCGTGGGAGTTTTTGCGATGTGTTGTAACGAGCAAATAGGTGACGTAACAACCCGGAGCTAGCGATCGTTGCAACGAGCCGAAACCTAAAAAGCCACCTGGTGGATCTTTTGTCGAGCAAAGAAAATACAAATGCTGAGGACACTGACACGCTGATGCAAATTCAACGCTCATGATTTCAAAACAGTGCAACGGATAGCATGATCTCATGGCGCAATATGAATATGTACGGGATACACACACTGAACCGAAGCCGTTACGAGAACATGTGCCGTGACTGAAACACCGTGCCGTGTCCCTGCGGTCGAACAAAACTGTTCAGAGGAAGGTAACGGGCAATGGTGGCGAAAGATTCGTCAATATGTGCAGACCTTTACAGTGTTTCGAGACTACAGTTGCTGTTACCACACAGCGCAGCAGCGCGTGGTCACCTTGACGGATGCTTACCTGTGCGGTGGTGCGTGGCACACCTTGGCGGACGCTTACCTGTGCGGTGGTGTGTGACACACCTTAGCGGATGCTTACCTGTGCGGTGGTGCGTGACACACGTCGGTGGATGCGTACCTGTGCGGTGGTGTGTGACACACCTTAGTGGATGCTTACCTGTGCGGTGGTGTGTGACACACGTCGGCGGATGTGTACCTGTGTGGTGGTGTGTGACACACCTTAGCGGATGCTTACCTGTGCGGTGGTGCGTGACACACCTTAGCGGATGCTTACCTGTGCGGTGGTGCGTGACACAC